CATTGCACCCCAGGCTGGGTAGCATGAGTGAAACCCCGCCCAAAAAAAAAAAAAAAAAAAAAATGAACGGACTGGACATGGGAATGTGGAGAAGGGGTTGTAAGTAATGACTCCGGAGTCCCTGAGCTACGTGACTAGGGAGAGGAGGGGATGGTGGTTAATTCACCATAAAGAGGTACGTGGGGATCAGAGACAGGTTTGGTGAAATGGGGAAAGAGTCATCCAGTTGATCATTCATTCAACAAACACGTATGGAGGCCTTACTGTGTGACAGGCAGTGTTACAGACACTGGAGATAAAGTTTGGAACAGAACAGACCAAAACTGTTGTCCTCATGGAACTTCCAGTGGGAATTGAAAAGCAATATTCGGGAGAGAGAGAGAGGGAATGGGAGGGAAGGGGCTTGCAAATTTTGAAAAGGGTGCTCAGAGAAGGCCTCAGTGAGAAGGTGACATTTTAGCAAAGACCTGAAGAAGGGGAGGGACGGACCCACGTAGCTATTTGTGGGGTCGTGGGGAAGAGTCCAGACAAATAAAACAGCAAGTGCAAAGGGCCTGAGGCAAGAGATGGCATAACAAGTTCAAGAAGCAAAGAACACAGAGTGCCTGGAGCAAGGCAGCCGGCAGGAGAATAACAGGAGAGGGATCCGGGACATAACGGGGGTACCAGATTGCGTAGGGCTTTGGAGATCATTGAAAGGGCTTTGACTTTGACTCTGAATGAGACAGGAGCCATTGGAAAGTTTGGCACAAGGATGACCTGATCAGACTTCTGTTGAACTGATAACGCACTGGCTGTTGAAGGAGCTATAGACAGGTGGGAGAACGAGGATCAATAGAAGCAGGAGAGCAGGGAGGGGGGCTATTTCGACGACCTAGGCAAGAGATGAGGGTAGCTTGGGGCTGGCTGGCATTGGTTTAAATGATATTTATATTTTCCAATATATTATCATAAAAATATTCGCACGTAGAGCCAAGTTGAACTTTACAGTGAATACCCAGGATTCTTGCTATACTTTGAAAGGAGAGTCCCTGGGATTCACTGAGTGAGTGGAGCCTGTGGGATTTCTTGGGAGGGCTGCAGCGGGCAGTCAGGTCATTTGACCCGGAAATGGAACTGCAGCCCTGGTCTGCAGCATCACATCAGACCCAGACGCCTAAAAAGGATTCTGCATTAAGGACAGCCTGTTGGCCTGTTGGTACCTCACCTTTATTGGGTTTTGAATCCAATAAACTATGGGCAGTTTGAACCTTTCTCAGAAAATGCAAAAAAAATTATTTGTAGTTGCTGGGGAATCATAAATACAGACAATAAAAGACATAAAATGTAGTCTATTTCACCCAATTACAAAATATTCAGTGTTGCAGAACCATTGTGGGTAAACATTAGTAATTTTTAGTGAACACAGGAGGACCCCATGCCCCCCCGCCCCCCAAGACATCCCCCTGTCTTGCCTCTAGAACTCCTGTTTCTCCATCCACCTGGTCTATGGGCAATGCGGAGAATACGTAATGAAGAGGGGAGCAGTAAGTTTTGGGTTATAAAATTCCCTGGAACCTGGAAGACACCCTTCTGAGTACTGTGAAGACGTGGGTCCCAAGGCCAGAGCTGAGAAGAGGCTTGGGGCCGGGTGAGCCTTCCAGCCAAGGTCTGCCTCCAAGTGATGCTCCCCCAGGGCTGGGGGCATGGGGATGGCACCCAGCCAGGTGGGAGCCTGGGCCCTCCCCAACCTCAAAGCTTTGAGCTCAGGAAATCCGGAGGCAGGGGAGGGGGACATTGTTGCCACATTCCCCAGCCCTTTAAGACCCCCAAGGCAGGAAGGCTGCCCGGGCCTCACCAGCTTCCCTCACAGGCTCCTTCCTGGGAGGAAGGGGCTGCCTGTGCCCTCGAAGGCGCAAGGGAGGGTAGGAGGGAGGCTCGGAAGGTGTTGCAATCCCCAGCCCCCGTGCCCGTCAGAGGCCAAGCCATTAACGACAGAGCTCGGGGAGAGAGGCTGGACTGCAGCTGGTTTCAGGAACTTCTCTCGACGAGGTGAAGAGAGACCAGGGAGGCCAAGCAGGTGCTGGACCAGAGGCTCCAATGTGAGTAGGGGATCCCTAGAGAGGGGCTGAGCCTCGGGCTTGATGGAGAGCTGGAGTCCTGCGGCCACTCCCCGCAGCTCCGCCAAGTGTTCATGTCCGGGGTCCTAGGTCTGGGGCCAGGGATTCATCCTTTGGAAGCTGCAGCCCTGGACACTGACTCACTTTTCACAGGACGCCCCTACTTTTTGGGGTATTGCACGAGGGACGTCACTCATAGCCAAGTTTCTCCTTGGGGACACTGAGCTAGGCTGGAGACAGACAAAATCATTCTCCCCTCCCCATGCCTCTGTCTCTCAGAACGTGCGTGTCTGTGAGTCCCAGCTCCATCTGGGCCTCTGTCTACTTCACGCTCTGTTTCCATATTTCCTCCTCGAGCTTCTCTCTGGCTTGCTGACTCTCTGTGTTTCTCTGTCTCACGTATTTCCTGCTCTCCTTTGAATCTTAAACTCTTGGTAACAGACTGCTTCCCGGGCTCCAGGCCGCTGGGTGCCCCCGGCTCTCTGGGTCGGCGTACTTGTCTCTTGGGCCCTTCTTCTCCGTCTCTCGACATCTCCGGCCTCAGTCTTCTTCTCGGTGGGTCTCTGTCATTTCGGTCTGGGTGGATTTCAGTCACCGCCTTGCTCTGTTATGCTGTGTGGCGTTCTCTTCTTTTCTTTATCTGCAGCACAACTGGAAAGGCCTCTCCCTCTGTTTATTTCCAGCCTCCTCCTCCCTCCCCACCCTTCCCACAGAAAGAATCTCCAGGTGAGAGTAAAAGCAGCACGGGAGCCAGGGGTGTGAACTGAGGAAGACAGTGTGAGGGGAGAAGGTTGACTGTGATGGAGGGAGAAACAGCAAGAGGGGGCCCGAGGGCAGCCAGCCCAGGAGGCATGGAGGTGTGCTGCGCAGCAGCCTCGGAGCGAACTCCTGCAGAGCCCGGCGGCGGAGAAGGCCACAGTGACGGGAGGGCCAGGGGGCCGAGGAGCTTGGAGGAAGGGATCCAGAAAGGGGGTTCTGGAACTGTGCAGTGTGGCACAGATAAAAGCAAGGTGGCAGTCCTGTGAGGTGTGGCCACACAGGCTGTGAGGGAGGCAGGGGTGAGGGGAGAACCGAACTGTGCTGGATTCCATGAGCTGATGACCCACTTTATGGCTCGTGAAAATAACCTACGGTTGCTGAGTGCCGATTCCATGCCAGGCACAGTGCTAAGTGCCTTTACCATAATCATCTCATTTCATCCTCACAACAACCCTGAGGGGTGAGTGCTAATGTTATTTATTTTCCACAGATGGGGAAACTGAGGCTCGGCTCGGAAAGGTGAAGTAACTTGTCCAAGGTCACAAGTAAGTGGTGGAGCTGGAGATCAAGTCAGGTGACCTGAATCTGAGCTGGGCTCCAAACCTCTCTGCATATCAGCCCCCTAGAGAGTGAGACGATGCTCCAACAGGCCCCAGGCCCTCTCAACCAGGGTGGGGGGGTGCCCAGGGCTGCAATGAGGGACCAGGGACTGAGGCCAAGCAGGCCAACACCCAGCACCCAGCAGGAGGAGGCCGGGGCCTCTCGGGGCTAGATTGTCTGCTCTGGACAGGAGCCAGTGGAGGCAGATAAGGTGGTACTGCATGGGGCATAGGCTGGGCCTGAAGCTGACCCTGGCTAGGGCAACAGAGCTGGGATATGATCAAAAGCACATGGAGATGAAAACCAGTGTCCCAAAATCTTGGGCTTGGAGGCTAAATCTTCCCCAACCACTGTTAAGGGGGATAATCAAACTGGTGTGCTGCAGTAAGAAAGTTACCAACCACTGATGGGTAGACAGATGCTTGGGATAGTTGTGCAGGTTTCTCACTGCACAAAACTGAGGAGTAACTGGAGCCGAAATCCAGGCTGTGCCCTAGTTGCCAGGTCCTAGTGTGGTGCTGCATCCATCCCGAGGAAGGGGTGCTTTCTTTCTGATTTGCACAAAGGAGACTTACGGGCTAGTGTCCCTGGGTGATCTGATACTGCAATATATATGGATAGACTTGGGGTCTGGGTAAGGCCCCTGTGAGCAGGAACAGCCTTGGGTATCTGGACAATTCTTATCCAAACCTCTGTCTGTGAGGGAGAGGAAAAGATTCTCCTACCTTTTTCCCTGCTGAGCACAAGTGATCTGCTGGGACACCACTTGCATATATGTGTCCATATATGTACATGCAAGCTGGCCAGAGATTCCCACTGATCTGCCACCAGCAGCACCAACTCGTGCTGGAGAACCAGGTGTTGGCCCCAAGACCCCAATGGGAGCAGGGTGAAGATTAGGCTGGGCACCCACCTGAGTGGGAGAAACTTCCACATACCTCCTAAGACTGGAGCCAAGGCACCCTCCATCCAGGCACTGTGGCCATGACCACATGATGCCTGACCTCAGAGGGCCGCCAGAGGTCTGTGCCCAGAATCAGGGGGCATACTGGACCCCTCGGTGCCCTACTTTGTATCCTCAGCCCACATGGCTGAGGCAGCCAGCTTCCTGCCGGTGTAACCTGACAGCCCCTTGCCTCAGCCACTCCGTAGAGTTCTCCCTTTCTTCCAGGGAGCATCCCTGACAACACCGGCATGGCTTCCCCAGGAGAACCTGCCTAGTACTCATGCATGCCCAACCTGGATGTGCCAGGGAGTGAACACCCAAGAGGCATCCCTTGACCAATGAGGGGCAGGAGTCAGTGGGTAAATCTTCCCATCCCAGGGATAAACTGGCCCTTAGGTGGACAGTTCTGAGAAGTGTCAACATGGCTCTTCAGAAGGTTCCAGCAGGATAGAGCCCCAGTTGTCCACAGAGGTGACCAACATGATAACGTAACCTTGTGTTGGCTTTCTCTCCTTCCCTGTTTCATTCTCCCCAGTCCCTTATCTGCTGCCTGGATCTTCTCAAAATAAACTGCCAGCATGCAATTCCTCATCTCAGGTTCTGCTCTCTGGGGGGAGCCCAGCTTAGATAGCCGGGAAGGGGGAAGAATGCTGTTCCTCGTTGCTCCTTTCCCTGCTCTTTCCCGGAAGGCAAATATAATAGCAAGTATAAGTAAATGGCTGTCAGTCATTTCCTATGTTCCAGGCACTGTGCAAAGCTCTTGGCTTGCATCATTTTGTGTCTTCCTCCCAAAGTCCCATGCAGTACAGAATGCTGTTACTTCCATTTTTCAAAGAAACTAAGGCTCAGAGAGGTCAAGCAACCTAGTCAAGCTGAACAATGACAGACAAGGATTAAGGTCAGCTCTGACTCCAAAGCCCATGGTCTTAAACAACCCTCCTGCCTCCAGGTGAACATCAAGTTGGCGCTATGGCAAGGCTGAGAAACTTCAGCCTGACTTGGGCTGCCCTGATCATCCTGCTGCTCTCCGGAAGTGAGTATGGCCAAGGATGGGGGTGCAGTGGGGAGGGGGACTTCCAAGAAGAGATATTGGGAATCATTTCCTTGCACTGCCACAAGGCTCCTGGCATTCCCAGAGAATCCCAAAAGACTCAAGACTGAGCCGCAGATGTTGGGTAGCTGATCTCCCACCCAGACTTCCACAGGCAAACTGCACCCAGGAGGAATGGTGAGATGATCTAGGCTGGTCAGCCTGGAAAAGGCCAGTGGGACACAAATCTTGTCCGCAAATCTCTAATAGGCTGTCAGAAGGAACCTATGGGTCCTATGCAGCCTTGGTGGACAGCAAAGGGATCAGGATGGAAGCAACAAGGGGACAGGTTTCATCCTGAAATGCAGAAGCCCAGGCAGAACTTGGTTTCCAACCTGGATGCTGTCTTGAGAGGTAGAGAACTTCCCATCCCCAGGGATGTGCAAGCTGAGGCCAGGATTCACAGAGGCGCTACGTAGCAGGAGTTGGCAAACTTTGTCCGGCAGTAATGTTTAGGCTTTGCCGGCCACATACTGTCTCTTCCATGTTTTTCTGGTTGGTTGGTTGGTTGTTTTTGAGACAGGGTCTCCCTCTGTCACCCAGGCTGGAGTGCAGTGGCACAATCACAGCTTACTGCAGCCTCAACTTCCTGGGCTCAAGCCATCCTCCCACCTCCCCGTCCAAGGTAGTTCGGGGCATGCCACCACACTCAGCTAATTTTTTTGTGGATGTAGTTTTGCCATGTTGCCAAGGCTGGTTTCAAACTCCTGGGTTCCAGCAATCCACCCATCCTGACCTCCCAAAGTGCGGGGATTACAGGTGTGACCCACCATGCCCTGCCTATTGCATGTTTTTTTGTTTTTTGAGATGCAGCCTCTCTCTGTCGCCCAGGCTGGAGTGCAGTGGTGGTTGATCTTGGCTCACTGCAACCTCCACCTCCTGGGTTCAAGCAATTCTCCTGCCTCAGCCTCACGTATAGCTGGGATTACAGGCGCCTGCCACCATGCCTGGCTAATTTTTGTATTTTTAGTAGACATGGGGTTTCACCATGTTGGCCAGGCTGGTCTCGAACCCCTGACCTCAGGTGATCCACCCACCTCGGCCTCCCAAAGTGCTGGGATTACAGGCATGAGGCACCACACCCAGCCCTGTTGCGTGTTTTTATTTGGTTTTTGTTTTGTTTGTTTTTGACACTTTAAAAATATAAGGCAGATTCTTAGTTGTTACACCATACAAAAATAGGCCATTCAAGTCCTGCTGTAGAGGGCAGAGCATCAGGTGGAGTTTTGAAGCAAATAACCTTGTAAAGTTCCTTCCAGCCTGAAATCCTGAACCTGTGAAGCCGCGGAGGCCCTTTGTTGAGAATCATGAACTTGCTCTGTGACCCTGGGCAAACTGCTTCTCTTCTTAGGGCCTTAGCATCCCCACCAATAAAACAGGCCTAAAAACACCAGAGAGAGGAGAGAAAGCATTGTGGGCAAAGTGCATGTTTATTTGTTTATTTATTTATCAAAAAAATTTTCACCAAGGTGATACTCTGTACCAGGCACTGGGAATACAGTAATAAGCAGACAGCCAAGGTCTTCTGGCCTCACAGAATTTGTAATCTAGCTGGAGTGATAGATAAGTAAATAATCATAAGACTCTATAATTACGAAGGATAATAAGAGCTTTGAGGAAATACAGGGGCCCTGGCCTGATCCAATTTGTTAGTGCCTGGTCTTGTTTCTTCAAGATGCCTAAGCATTAACCAGGTGAAACAGGGATGAGAGGGAGAAAGAAGAGTCCCTCAAAAAAAGAACAGCAGGTCAGGCACAGTGACTCACACCTGTAGTCCCAGCACTTAAGGAGGCTGAGGCAGGAGGACTGCTTGAGCACAGAAGTTCAAGATTAGCCTAGGAAACATAGTGAAATCCCATCTCTTAAAAAAAAAAAAATCAAAAAATTAGCCAGGTATGGTGGCATGCACCTGTAGTCCCAGCTACTCGGGAGGCCGAGATGGGAGGATCACTTGAGCCTGGGAGGTCAAGAGTGCAGTGAGCCCTCTTGTTTGTTTTTAACTCTTTTAAAACCTTCCTAACAAGGAAGATTCTTAGTTGTTAGGCCATACGAAATACAAAAATAGGCCACTCAAGCCCTGCTGTAGAGAGCAGAGCATCAGGTGGAGTTTTGATGCAAACAACCTTGCAAAGTTCCTTCCAGCCTGAAATCCTGAGCTGTGAAGCAGAGGAGGCCCTTTGACGGTGCCACTGCACTCCAGCCTGAGTAACACAGCGAGACCAAAAAAAAAAAAAGGGGGGGGACCCTAGCAACCAGAGCAGTGACAGTAGCAACCGCCGTTATGGCGAAAGCAACAACAATCAAAGAAACCCTAGCGAGATGGGAAGAGAAAACTGGCCAGGGGCCATCTGAAGCCAAAGAGATATAACGTTATGCCCAGATTCCCCCCATAGAGAAGATGGATGCATCCTTGTCCACGCTTGCTAATGGCGAGAAGCTTTCACTGTCTACAAACTACATTGAAAAAATTGCCAACCTGAGTGGCTTTAAAAACTTGAGGATATTATCATTAGGAAGAAACAACATAAAGAACTTAAATGGACTGGAGGCAGTAGGGGATACATTAGAAGGACTGTGGATCTCGTACAATTTTATTGAGAAGTTGAAAGGGATCCACGTAATGAAGAAATTGAAGATTCTCTACATGTCTAATAACCTGGTAAAAGACTGGGCTGAGTTTGTGAAGCTGGCAGAACTGCCATGCCTGGAAGACCTGGTGTTTGTAGGCAATCCCTTGGAAGAGAAACATTCTGCTGAGAACAACTGGATTGAAGAAGCTACCAAGAGAGTGCCCAAACTGAAAAAGCTGGGTGGTACTCCAGTCATTAAGGAGGATGAGGAAGAAGATAACTAATGCCACCTTTTCCACTTTGTGTTAACTTATTTAAATGTCATAAGAACAATAGATACATTTCATATTAAAAAAAAAAAATCCGGCCGGGTGCGGTGGCTCAAGCCTGTAATCCCAGCACTTTGGGAAGCCGAGGCGGGTGGATCATGAGGTCAAGAGATCGAGACCATCCTGGTCAACACGGTGAAACCCCGTCTCTACTAAAACTACAAAAAATTAGCTGGGCATAGTGGCGCGTGCCTGTAGTCCCAGCTACTCAGGAGGCTGAGGCAGGAGAATTGCCTGAACCCAGGAGGCGGAGGTTGCGGTGAGCCGAGATCGCGCCATTGCACTCCAGCCTGGGTAACATGAGTGAAACTCCGTCTCAAAAAAAAAAAAAAAAAAAAAAAAATCCAGCAGGTCCAAAGATCCAGAGGCTAGAAAGATTATGGAGTTTTCAAAGAATAGCAATAATGAGCCAGAATGGCCGGAGCAGAGAGACAGTATACCCTGGAACTGAGAGGATCAGGCAGGGGCCAGGCCACAAGAGCTGTGTGAAGGATTTGAGTCTTTATCCTAATGATGGCAGCAAGTATTCACATGCCAGACACTGCTCTAAGTGCCTTCCATATGTTATCTCATGTAATCCTTCCAGTGACGCTAATGTAGGGGACAATTTTTATCCCTATTTTACAGATGATAAAATCGAGGCACAGAAAGTCTCAGTAATATATCAGGGTCTCGTAATAAGCCACAGAACCCGAATTTAAACCTAAGCAGTCTAGTTCCAACATCCACCCTCATCCATCACACCATACTGCCTTTCAGAGCCATAATGTGTCACCGAAGTGCTGTGATGGAGATGGGGTAGCAGAATCAGATTTGCCTTGTGAAAAGATTGCTGTGGCTATGGGTTCTTATCACTCTAATCACTGCTTGCACCATGCTTGGGGAGGACACTGGGAGTCATCAGTCTTTATCTGGTGGTGTGCTGGTGCTGGCTTGCAAAAGCTCACTGTGCACATCTGTTCCCAACTCCCCGATCAATGACGTCACATCAGTAGCTTGAAATCAGCTAAGGCGAGAGTATTCACACCATGGAAAGGGGCACACACTACAAACCAGGGTCTGCTCTTCTCTGTCGAGCTGGCTGATAAACAGTTACCAGCACAACACTATCTCTGCCTCACCCCTATAGCGTCTCAAAGTCCCGGTCCACGTCCTTCAATTTCCAGCCCCCATGTCTTGAAGGATGAGACAGGAAGGTGAGGGCCCTGAGTCTAGGAGTACAAAGGCCTAGATTAGATTATAGCCCAGCTCTGCTAGGCAGAAGAGTCGTTCCTGGCCCATTCTCTTCCACCTCAGGTCTGGAGGGGTGTGGGCACATCAGTGTCTCGGCCCCCATCGTCCGCCTGGGGGATCCCATCACGGCCTCCTGCATCATCACGCAGAAATGCAGCCATCTGGACCCGGAGTCACAGATTCTTTGGAGACTGGGAGCAGATCTTCAGCCTGGTGGGAGGCAGCAGCATTTGTCTGATGGGACCCAGGAATCTACCATCACCCTGCCCCACCTCAACCACACTCGGGCCTTTCTCTCCTGCTGCCTGAACTGGAGCAACACCGTGCAGATCCTGGACCAGGTTGAGCTGCATGCAGGCTGTAAGTCCCTCCAACCATTCATCTACCCTGCTTCCAATACCCTCCTGCCAATACTAATATTACTGGCCAGGTACAGTGGCTCACGCCTGTAATCCCAGCACTTTGGGAGGCCAAGGCAAGGGGATCAACTGAGGTCAGGAGTTTGTGAGCAACTTGGCCAACATGGCAAAACCACGTCTCTACTAAAAATAAAAAAAAATAGCCAGGTATGGTGGTGGGCACCTGTAATCCTAGCTACTCGGGAGGCTGAGACAGGAGAATTGCTCAAACCCGGGAGGCAGAAGTTGCAGTGAGCCGAGATCACGCCACTGCACTCCAGCCAGGGCAACAAGAGCAAAACTCCATCTCAAAAAAAAGACTATTACCTATTGAACTCTTGCCTAATAAGCACTTTATGGGCATAATATCAGGTAACAGTAGTATTGGTGCTACTATTTAGCCCCACTTTGCGGATGAAGAACTGAGATTCGAGGAGGGTAAGCGACTTGCCTGTCACATATTAATAGGATGGAGGCAGTGTGGCTCTAAAGCCAGTGTGGTGACCGCTACTCTACAGAGCCCAAGTCCTCAGCCATCAGAGGGTGTCTCCAAGGAGAACATTCTCTATCAGCTGGGTTTGTCCTCTGCTTCTCCTCCACCCCCATCTCAACCTTCCTTTCAAACTGAGTAGGATGGAGTTTGTGCCAAGCTGAGGCATAAGAAAAAACAAAGACCAAGGTTCATGTTTAAGAATCAGTAATGGGCCGGGTGCAGAGGCTCATGCCTGTAATCCCAGCACTTTGGGAGGCCACGGTGGATGGATCATTTGAGGTCAGGAGTTTGAAACCAGCCTGGCCAACATGGAGAAACCCCGTCTCTACTAAAAATACAAAAAATTAGCCAGGCGAGCCGAGATTGTGCCACGGCACTCCAGCCTGGCTGACAGAACAAGACTCCATCTCAAAAAAAAAAAAAAAAAAGCATCAGTAATGGCCACTGCTAACCCTTACATGGCATTTCCTGTGTATCAGGCACTGTTTTGAGCACTTCAGAGTGAGTCATTTAGAGTGACATTAGAGTGAGTCATTTAGCCCTCACAATAACACTAGGGGGTGGGTATTTTACCATTACCCCCATTTTACAGATGAGGATGCTGAGGCACAGAGCAGTTAAATAACTTCAGGATCACAAGGCTAATGAATGGCAGGACCAGGATAAAAACCCAAACACTGCACTGTCACTGATAAAGAGTCTGGAGTTGGGGGGCTTGGACATGGGGCACCACTGTGCTGCTGGGGGCCTGTGATGCTTGCCCCTGTGCGTGCCTGTAACTTAGCTTCCCCCAGTGCTGCCCTTCCAGAGCCACTCTGCCTGGAGATGGCGGGGACCAACAAGGTGACAACTGAGGAACCGAGCCAGGGACCAACTGGTCCCACAGGGAGCTTTCTGAGTGTTCTGGGTGGTCCCACCCAAAGCCCTCACACTCTTCCCACCTACATGCAGACCCTCCAGCTGTACCCCGCAACCTCTCCTGCCTCATGAACCTCACAACCAACAGCCTCAACTGCCAGTGGGAGCCAGGACCCGAGACCCACCTACCCACCAACATCACTCTGAAGAGCTTCAAGTGAGGAGGGGCCCCCACACCCCGGTCCCCTCCCGTCGGGTTCTGGGATGAGCCATGGGTAGGATGGTGGACATGCCTCTGGGAGGGAGAAGGGAGCCTCACTTTCTTCCTCTGTTTGACACCCAAGCCTGGACTATTGGCAGGAGCCGGGCCAACTGTCAGACCCAAGAGGACTCCATCCAGGACTGTGTGCCCAAGGATGGGCAGAGCCGCTGCTCCATCCCACGCAGACACCTGCTGTTGTACCAGAATATGGTCATCTGGGTGCAGGCAGAGAATGCACTGGGGACCAGCATGTCGCTACAACTGTGCCTTAATCCCATGGACGTTGGTGGGTTATACTGGGTGCAGGGGAGGGAAGGGATCCCCAAAACGGGCAGACACAGAGAGGAATGGAGAGGGAAATACAGGCCCAGTGACAGATAAAGAGACACTGGAAGATCTAGAGACAAGGGCAGAGAAGAGAGACAGAGACAAGGAGGGGTGCAGCTGGAGACAGAGAAATGGGTACACAGACCCAAAGGCCAGAAGAGACACAGAAGCAAGGAGACACATTCAGTCATGCTTTCAGCACGTTTTCTGAAGCACCCACTAAGTGTAAGGCACTGTTCTAGGTACTGGGGATACAGCAGTAAACAAAGCATCCAAAATCCCGCCCTCAGAATGTTGGATTCCAATGGGAAGTTAAATAAGATAGAATGTCAGATGGCAATAAGCAGAAAGGAGAAAGTAAGGAGGAGAAGCACACAGAGAGAGGGGAAGGGGAGCAGTGGCTATTTCAATAGGTCGGTCAAGAAAGGCCTCACTAAGAGGGTGACAACTGAGCAGATCCTTGAAGGAAAAGAGGGAGCAAGCCACTGGCTATCTGGAGGGAAAACATTTCAAGCAAAAGTAACAACCAGTGCAAAGTAACAACCAGAGCAAAGTAACAACCTGTGCAAAGGCCCTGGGGCAAGAGCAAGAAACAGAGACCTAGAGAGAAACAAAGACTCATAGAGACCGAACCACAGAAACCTGCCATGGCAATGTGGGCAGTGAACCACAGACAGGGAGACAAGAGGGAGCTAAGACAGAGCCCTCTAGGGTGGGGCAGGGAGAGCTTCTGACAGCCCCACTCCTTGCAGTGAAACTGGAGCCCCCCATGCTACGGACCCTGGACCCCAACCCTGAAGCGCCCCCTCCCGAGCCAGGCTGCCTACACTTGTGCTGGGAGCCATGGAAGCCAGGCCTGTTTATAAATCAGAAGTGTGAGCTGCGCCACAAGCCACAGCGTGGAGATGCCAGCTGGGCACTGGTGAGGCGGAGGGCAACCTGGAGAGCCTGAGGTGGTGGGGGTAGAGGCAGGGTAAGTTGGGCTCGAGCTGGCCCTGGAATGGCCCAGAGATCCAAGGCTCAGAGTCATGTCCACCCCCGACCAGGTGGGCCCCCTGCCTTCAGAGGCCTTTCAGTATGAGCTCTGTGGGCTCCTCCCAGCCACGACCTACACCCTGCAGATACGCTGCATCCGCTGGCCCCTGCCTGGCCTTTGGAGCAACTGGAGCCCCAACCTGGAGCTGAGAACTACTGAACGGGGTAAGGAGGTGATGAGGGGCTGGGAGCAGTCATCAGTATCCACTCCAGGCCCCAGGGCCCTCCCTGACTGGCACCCTCCTTTCTTGTTCCATCCACAGCCCCCACTGTCAGACTGGACATATGGTGGCGGCAGAGGCAGCTGGACCCCAGGACAGTGCAGCTGTTCTGGAAGGTGACTCCCTCTGAAGGCTACCCCTCTACCTTGACACCTCCTCCAATCCAAATAGACCCCTGCAAACCGGGGCTTAGGACTCCGACAGGTCTGAGAAGTGTGGATGCACTTATATGTGATTTGCACGCACTTTGCATGTGCCTCGGGAGCTGAGTTCGCTTTTGGATAGACTACAACGCCGGGCACAAGGCGGTTCAGTGAATTGTTAAAAGCCTCCTGTGTGCACTGACTTGTTTCTCCCTGCCCTCCAGCTTCTTCCTGCCCTCCTTCCTAGAGCCTAGCACAAGGGAACAGAGGGAAAAGGGGAGGGGTGAGAAACCTGGCCCCCGGCCTGGGGATGCTCCATTGTATGATCCATCCACCCCACCTAGAGGCTCTCCCCTACTCAAGAGGAGCTGCACATCCCCTTCTCTTTTTCCTCCTGTGCCCCATAGCCAGTGCCCCTGGAAGAAGACAGTGGACAGATCCAAGGTTACCTGGTTTCTTGGAGACCCTCAGGCCAGGCTGCGGCCATCCTGCCCCTCTGCAACACCACAGAGCTCAGCTGCACCTTCCACCTGCCTTCAGAAGCCCAGGAGGTGACCCTTGAGGCTTATAACTCAGCTGGGACCTCTCTTCCCAGCCCGGTGGCCTTCTCAGAGAGCAGAGGTAAAGGGGGCTGGCAGCCAGAAGACTGGTCAAGTGTGTCAGTTCAAAGGCTAGATTGCCTGGGTTCAAATCTAGTCCTATTGGCTGGGCACGGTGGCTCACGCCTGCAATCCCAACACTTTGGGAGGCCAAGGCAGGCAGATCACCTGAGGTCAGGAGTTCAAGATCAGCCTGGCCAACATGGTAAAACCCTGTCTCTACTAAAAATACAAATATTAGCCAGGCATGGTGGCATGCGCCTGTATTCCCAGCTACTTGGGTGGCTGAGGCAGGAGAATTGCTTGAACCTGGGAGGTGGAGGTCACAGCAACATGAGATCACGCCATTGCACTCTAGCCTGGGTGACAGAGGGAGACTTTGTCTAAAATAAAAAAAAAAAAATCTGGTCTTATCACTTGCTAACGGTGTGACCTGAGCAGGTTACATCCCTTCCCCAGCCTCTGTTTCCACATCCAGCAGATGGGGATGATAACAGTGCCTACTGAGGTGAGGCGTGGGTTAAGACATGAGTTAAGACAAGGGCCTAGTACACAGTAACTGCTCCGCCTGTGTCTGCTGTTATTATCATTAGCCAGAACGAGGTGAAGCTCACACACACACACACACACACACACACACACACACAGCCCATTCTGCCAAGAAAGCTAAGAGAGAAAGCCCCAGGCTTTTCTCCCTGGAACATGGTCTATGACTTCATTGTTCATTCTCAGGAGATCAGCTGCCACCTTCCCTAAACATGCATCCTCACAAGGTGGAACTAATCACAATAACAATAATAATAGCTAATATTCCCACTTACTAGCTGTGTGATCTCAGATAAGTTTATTAACCTCTCTGTGTCTCTCAGTTTTCTCATTAATAAAATGGGGACAAAAGTAGTGCTTCCTGGGTATGACTATTAAAGGACTCAGTGAATTAAAATATAACAAGGAGTTAGGTACAGTGGCTCATGCCAGCACTTTGGGAGGCTGAGGCAGGCAGATCACCTGAAGTCAAGAAGTCAAAACCAGCCTGGTCAACATAGCAAAGCCCCATGTCTACTAAAAATATAAGAATTGGCCAGGCATGGTGACAGATGCCTGTAAACCCAGCTATTCGGGCGGCTGAGGCAGGAGAATCGCTTGAACCAGGATGGCAGAGGCCCTTCAGTATGAGCTCTACGGGCTGGAGTGCAATGAGCCAAGATTGCACCACTGCACTCCAGCTTGGGCAGCAGAGCATGACTCCGAATAAAAAATAAAATACAGCCGGACGCAGTGGCTCAAACCTACAGTTTCAGCACTTTGGGAGGCCTCGATGGGCAGAGCACGAGGTCAGGAGTTTGAGACCAGCCTGACCAACATGGTGAAACCCCCCCATCTCTACTAAAAATTTAAAAATTAGCCAAGCTTGGTGGCAGGCGCCTGTAATCCCAGCTACTCAGGAGGCTGAGAGGAAAAGAATTGCTTGAACCCAGAAGGCAGAGGTTGCAGTGAGCCAAGATAGTGCCACTGCACTCCAGCCCCAGTGACAGAGCAAGAGTCCATCTCAAAAATAAATAAATAAGTAAAATAAAGCAAAGTAAGGTAAAATGTAAAATAAAATAAAATACATCAAGGATTACACCTGACACATAACAAGAGCCATACAGTGTTAGCTGTCACCACTACTCTATACTAGGCTTGTTCCATGCATCAAGTCATTTAATCTGCACTGACACCCTATGAGGCAGGAACTTTTATCATCATTTCCACTTTACAGATGAGGAAACTGAGGCTCAGATGTTGACCCACCCAAGGTCACCCAGCCTGTAAGTAGCAAAGCCAGGATTTGAACCCAGGCTTCTGGCTCCAGGGCCTGCATTCTTTTCACCTTCATTCTACCATTTCCCACTGTCTCCAGGCCCAGCCCTGACCAGACTCCATGCCATGTCCCGAGACCCTCACAGCCTCTGGGTGGGCTGGGAGCTCCCCAGTCCACAGCCTCAGGGCTATGTGATTGAATGGGGCCCAGGCCCCTCCAGCACAAGCAACAGCAACAAGACCTGGAGGATGGAACAGAGTGGGAGCATCACAGGGTTTCTGCTGAAGGGTGAGGCTGGCCTGGAACAATGGGCAGGACCAGGGACAAAGGGAGGCAGTGCTTGTCTGACAATAAGCATGGGGCAGACTGAACTGTTTAAAGGCATGGATTCTCCAGCCTTTCTTGATCCTTCACTGTTTCCATTTCATATCCTCATAATCAGGAAGTTCTCCCTACAGTCTAACCTAGTCCTTTTTCTATAGCCCTGACCCTGCCACCCTTTTAACTCTCTCTTCTACTTTTCTTCCCTAATTCTCATCAAATGATCTAAAGAAGAGATTGTGGAGGTTAACCTCAAATCATGAGGCCAGGGTAGCCCTGACTAGAGGTCTGAGGCTAGCTCCTGATCATCAGCACAGGTTAGCCCCTAACAGGAATGCCTACCCCATTTTCTCTCTACAGAGAACATCAGGCCCTTTCAGCTCTATGAGATCACTGTGACTCCCTTGTACCAGGACGCCATGGGACCCTCCCAGCATGTCTACGCCTACTCCCAAGAAAGGGGTTCGTCAACCATCAGGCCCCTTTCCAGAATCCTCTCCTCTCTCTTCCAAGGCTCCGCCTGGTCCCCAGCAATCAGGAATATAGGGAACACTGCCTTCCTACCATACTGCTGGCCCTGGAGAGGATCTCTCTCAATCCCCTGGCTTACACTTGATCCCTACAGCTGGACAGAAATCAGGTGCTGGGATAGAAGCTGAGTAGAGAGGTGGCACAATTCAAGGAGCAAACCTGGCAAAAATCAGTCCATTTCCCATACAAAAATAAGGTGTTAATATGTAACAGAACTTGGACAGAGGGGCCAGGCGCAGTGGCTCACACCTATTTTCCTAACACTCTGGGAGGCCAAGACAGGCAGATCACTTGAGCTCCGGAGTTTGAGACCAGCCTGGGCAACCTTGTCTCTATAGAAAAATAAATAAATAAATAAACAAACAAACAAACAAAAAATTAGCTGGGTGCAGTGGCGCATGCCTATAGTCCCAGCTACTTGAGAGGCTGAGGTGGCAGGATCAGATCACTTGAGCCCAGGAGGTCGAGGCTGTAGTGAGCCAAGATGGAGCCACTGTACTCCAGCCTGGGTGACAGAGCGAGACCCTGTCTCAAAACAAAACAAAAGAAATTGGACAGAGGACCTGGCATAAATTCAGAGAGTGAGTGGCAGAAATCAGAGAGTAAATCAGATGAAATCAGGCCTAGTAGAAATCAGAAAGTGAGAATTTAGAGTCAAGCAGAGCCAGGTTCAAATCCTGGCTCAGACACTTATTAGCAGTAGGCGGAACCTGGATTAAATCCCTGGGAAAATGAGGCTTGGACATGAGTCCCCTTGGGCTCTTTCTCATCCACCCTGCAGTGGCTGGGAAGCCACAAGAAGTCCAATTGGACTCCCTTTACCCCCTGCACCTCTTTCTTCCCACAGGCCCCTCCCGTGCCCCAGAACTTCGTCTAAACCACATTGGCAAGACCTGGGCACAGCTGGAGTGGGTGCCCGAGCCCCCTGAGCTGGGGAAGAGCCCCCTGACCCACTACACCATCTTTTGGACCAATGCTCAGAACCAGTTCTTCTGTGAGTCTATCCTCAGTTCCCCACAGCCCCAGAAGGCCCAGGAGAGGGTGCTCAGCTGCCATGGAGGCAGCTTCAGCATCCAGGCCTAGGCTGACCATACACCCCTCCCAGCCGCCATCCTGAATGCCTCATCCAGTGGCTTTGTCCTCCATGGCCTGAAGCCCGCCAGTCTGTATCATGTCCACCTCATGGCCGCCAGCAAGGCTGGGGCCATCAACAGTACAGTCCTCAACCTGATGACCTTGACCCCAGGTAAGGGGAGTTGGGGTCTGGGCAGAGATGGCTGTTGGGAGGGTACCCTAACCAAAGGTTGCTGATTTTGAGAATAGAAGGGGACTGACTTTGAATCCCCTGGTCGGAGGGAGGAGACCCAGCCTTCCCCACATGCACTCTAACTTCTTCCGGCTCCCCCCTCACTGCAGAAGGGTCTGAGCTACACATCCTCCTGGGCCTGTTCGGCCTGCTGCTCTTGCTCACCTGCCTCTGTGGAACTGTCTGGCTCTGCTGCAGCCCCAAGTGAGTCCCTTTGAAAAACCTGAGATCCTGCTTCCCCCACCCACAGGGAACCTCAGATCCAGGTGGGCCCATCTAAGTCCCTTCCAACCTTCCCAGACTTTGGGGCCCATGTCTGAGAGCCCCAGCCCCAGCTTCTTCTCTGTGCACGAAGCACAGCTGTACCTCTTCAGGTGGGGTAGGTGGGACAAAGGGTGGAAAGATCAGAGGGTGTGTCTGACCCAGCCTCCATCTGCCCCCTTTTGCAGCAGGAAGAATCCCCTCTGGCCAAATGTCCCAGATCCAGCTCACAGCAGCCTGGGCTCCTGGGTGCCCACCACCATGGAGGAGGTGAGAATCCAGGAGGGAGAGGGAAATGGGGTGGGGATGTTGGTCCAGGCTCAGTGAAGGGACACCTCCTGAAGCCAAGTACTCAGGCCTTCCTGTCACTTCCAGCAACATCCCTCCCTTTGAGATGAAACAGACCCAAAGAATCCCAGCTCTGTCCATCTCACAGCCTCAGTCATCTCCCTGTGATATGGAAAGGCTGACGATGCTGAGTCTGAACGGTGCGTGGCATGTGTCAGGCATGTGTCAGGAACATAACAATGCTTTGCAAGTGGAACCCTTTGTGTTCTAGAAGTAACAGCAGAACGACCCCACCACTGCCAGAACCCAGACAGGGACGGTGGCTGGGGCAGACATCTGAAATGAGCCGTGCTCTCACCCCACATCCTTGTGTGCAGGAGGCCTTCCAGCTGCCCAGCCTCGGCACGCCACCCATCACCAAGCTCACAGTGCTGGAGGAGGAGAAGAAGCAGCCAGTGCCCTGGGAGTACCATAACAGCTCAGAGACTTGTGGCCTCCCCACTCTGGTCCAGCCCTACGTGCTCCAGAGGGACCCAAGAGCAGCTTCCACACAGCCCCAATCCCAGTCTGGCACCAGCGATCAGGTCCTTTACGGGCAGCTGCTGGGCAGCCCCACAAGCCCAGGGCCAGGGCACTACCTCCGCTGCAACTCCACTCAGCCCCTCCTTGGGGGCGTCAGCCCTAGCCCCAAGTCCTATGAGAACCTCTGGTTCCAGGCCAGCCCCCTGCGGACCCTGGCAGCCTCAGCCCCAAGCCAGGAGGACGACTGTGTCTTTGGGCCACTGCTCGACTTCCCTCTCCTGCAGGGAATCCAGGTCCATGGGGTGGAGGGGCTGGGGAGCTTCTAGGGCTTCCTGGGATTCTGTTCTTGGGCCTGCCTCTTAAAGGCCTGAGCTAGCTGGAGGAGAGGGGAGGGTCCAAAAGCCCATCACTAAAAACTACCCCAGCCCAGGCTCTCCCTCATCAGCCATCAGCATCCCCCTCTCCTCCCAATCTCCATAGGGTGGACTTCCCAGACAACCTGCATACTTTAAGGACCAGATCATGCTCCATCGGCCCCACCCAATGGCCTTTTGTGCTTGTTTCCTATAATTTCAGTATTGTAAACTACTTTTTGGTTTTGAGTTTTTGTTGTTGTTTAGAGACACTCTTGAGTGTAACTGAGTCTCTGTTATTGATTTTTCAAGGCCCAGCAGTCAGGAAGAAACTTCTCAGAATTGATCCTTCCTTCCCTCCTTTCTTGTTTCTTCCCTCCCTCCCTCCCTTCCTCCTTTCCTTCCCTTCCTTCCTCTCTTCCTTTCTTCCTCCATTCCTTGCCTTCCTTCCTTGCCTTCCTGCCTGCCTGCCTCCCTTCCTTCTCTTCCTTCCTTCCCTTTCCTCCCTTCCTTCCCTCCCTCCCTTCCTTCTGCCAGCTCTCAGGATCTAGGCCCTGTGCAAATGACTCAGCTCAGTTCACACTCAGAGAGCTTCATTGTAGTGTTGGGGACTTGAAAACTGATCCTTAGGGCACAGTGACATGGGTTACATGGGGGGAGTGAGAGTGCAGTGGGACACAGCGAAGAAATCTTGGAAAAAAACTAACTCCTGTTGGGGAAATATAATTGAAAACAAAATCCCCTGCCAACCCAGAAAACCCCTCCACAAGGGTAAAAAAGAAACAGTGTTACTATTGAATAAGCATTAAAGCAGAATGTGATACACATCACAAGCAATCCACTAAAGAGACTGCAAAGACAGAAAAAAATATTACCCTTTTATATAGCCAAGTGAATACAACTTATTGTATCCACTTTCTCAAGATAAACAATAACTGGTCCTCAAGTAAGAGGACTTGGCAGCACCTCCCTCTAAATTTACCTAGTAAGCGGCAGCCACCTGCGTCTGCTAATTGCCTTTATCCAAAGGAAAAATCGATTTCCCCTATCTTAATGACAAGAGGTAGGTTGCAACTAAGAGCTAGGCACCAGCTGAAGTTAGGCTCCTACCCTCCCACAGGAGCTGGGAGAGAGAGCATTATCCTCCTCAATTGTTACATTTCGAAGGGACGGCTCCCAGGTCCTAAAAAAAAAAATTCCGGGGTTGTAAAACTGTTAAGAGGTTTATTTACCTTTTAAAAAGATTTACATTTATCGCAAAGCAGTAGAGAAGGTATTCACGATTACAAGTTCTCTAAAGTAAATGCTCTCAGAAAAGTGAGGGAAAGAAGTCTTTTCCCCTGTTGCGCCATGGAAAATTAAATTTTCTTTTTCTTCTAATTTGTATTCACCCTTATACCACTCATTTCACAAATAACATCACCATTAAGATTTATTAAATGCTGTGGGAGAATGCTTGTCAATGTGTGCATTCAACTTCCAGAGTAAATAAATAAATAAATAAAAGAAAAAAGAAAAAAAAAAAAAAAAGATTACTAAATGCGGGCCGGGCGCGGTGGCTCACGCCTGTAATCCCAGCACTTTAAGAGGCCGAGGCAGGTGGATCATGAGGTCCGGAGTTCAAGACCAGCCCGGCCAAGATGTTGAAACCCCCATTTCTACTAAAAATACAAAAATCAGCCGGGCGCGGTGGCAGGCGCTACTAGGGAGGCTGAGGCAAGAGAATCGCTAAACCCGGCCCGAGGCCAGGGAATACTGAGAGATAAAGGACAGGTTGCACGCCCTCCAAAAAGCGGCATTTTAGAATTTATACAGCACACCAGCACACACTTAAACGTGGGCACACGACCACGCGCCAATTTCGCGCAGCTGGAACGTGCGCCCCGCCATCAGAGTCCCGCCCACCAATCCATTCTCTCGGTCTTCATCTACTCCGGTATCTCAACTGCCTCGATTGGTCGAGCCTGGGCCAGCATGGCGGCGCCCATGTAACCCGGTCTGTGCCGCAAAGGGAACTGCGGTCGCGGCGCGGGCCCCGCGGGGGTTAGAGGTCACCATGCTAAGGGCCGCGTGGAGGGTGCTGAGTTTGATTCGGACTCAGGCAGTCACCCAGGTCCCAGGCCCCGGGCTGCCGGGCGGTGGGAGCGCCAGGTTTCCTTCCAACCAGTGGGGCCTGCAGCCTCGAAGTGAGGAGCTGAGAAATGGGATTGCGGGCATAGGGAAACAGGGTTCGGCAGAGATAGGGGATAAGGGAGCACAGGAATAGGGGAGATGTAAGCGTCAGGATGAGGGAGAAAGGATGGTGGTTGCGCTAGAGGTGAGACAAGGCGTGAGACACAAGAGGTAGGGAAGAAATGGGGCAGCGTTTAGGCTCAGAAGCGCATAGACCGTGGCGGAGGGGCAATGCGAGGGGCACAGAAAGGAATTGAAGGTAGACTATTTAAGCAGATAGGCCTCAGCCCTCTCTCTTCTCTTAGGTCTCCTCCAGGCCACGCGCAGATATGTCATCCAGAAACCAGGTAGGAGTTCCTGGGGTGGGACTTGGGGCGGAAGAACGACCTCCTTTAAGGCTTAGCGTGGGTAAGGGCACCAATGTGGCAAGTTAGACCCACTAGATGGGGTGAGCCAGAGGTCCTGAGCAGAAGACCCCACGTTCACCTTACACAAAACCCTAAGCCTGCAACCTGTACGGGGAGAGAGGGGTGTAAAGGGCGGGAGCAGGATCTTTACAGGTGAATGAGTGAAAATGAACTTGCCAGAGGGAGTGCATGCATGGCTGGCATCACCCAGGCTCTACCTAGAGTATGGCATTTTTTGTCTGCACTTCTGAGACGCAGGATGAAGTTTCCCATTGCAAGTCAGTACGCATAGTAATTCAGATCCCTCTTATTAGGTAAGTGATATGGGGCGAGGTACTTCCTGTCTCTGATTCTTATTTCTAAAGTAAGTGTGAAAGTATCCATTTGCAAGGATTGTTAGGATTCAGCGATAACACATGAAAAGCATCCTTAGCACTATGCTCAATTAAATATATTAATAATACATATTAGAATTTATTGTCCGGGGCCAGACTCAGTGGCTTACGCCTGTAATCCCAACACTTTGGGAGGCCGAGGCAGGCAGATCACTTGAATTCAGGGGTTTGAGACCAGCCTGGCCAACACGGTAAAACCCTGTCTCTACTAAAAATACAAAAAAAATTAGCCAGGTATGGTATGCACGCCTGTAATCCCAGCTACTCAGAAGGCTGAGGCAGGAGAATCACTTGAACCTGGGAGACAGAGGTTGCAATGAGCCGAGATTGTGCCACTGCACTCCAGCCTAGGTGACAGACCCAAGACTCCATCTCAAAAGAAAATAAAAATTTATTGGCTGGACATGGCCCCAACACTTTGGGAGGCCAAGGCTGGAGGATCACTTGAGGCCAGGATCAAGACCAGCCTCGGCAACATAGCAAGACCCTATCTCTACAAAAAATAAAGTAAGTAGAATTTATTGCCATTAATATATTTAATATAATAATTTTTTTCTGCCTCCCTATCAGAACCAACTTGAGCTGTTACAGACAGAAAAGGCCTGATAATGTTATTTGCATAGCAGGGTCTGACTGGAGAGGATAAATCCATCTACCCTCTGCCTCTCCCTCACCTCCAAGGGACAGCATAGGTGCACACATCAAGACTGAGATTTTCCTGTGATCTCTACTTGGTGCTTACATTTCAGGCATCATACAGCTAGCTGCCTTTCCTCAACCCCCTTATTTCATTTTTGCAGTCAGCCAGCAAGTGTTTGTTGAGTGCCTTGTCTAGGCTGAGCCATGGACCAGACTATGGTGGATTCTAAGGAGGTCAAACTCTGTCCTGTCCACAGGAGGATGCATCCTAGTGGGGGATCTGTGAACTGTAGAGCCAGATCAGGCTGTGAAAGGTACAGGCACAGTGTAGGGTCTTGGGAAGAGCCATCAACTCCCAGTATGAAATATCAAATCAGGTGCCCACAGAGGTTGCAGAAGAGAAACTGAGCCCAGAGATATCCAGTGCCTTGCTTGAGACCCTGGATGTCTCTTCCAGAATGGGAGAGTGGGTGAGAAGAGCTAAGTCTGGGAGGATGGGTGGCGAGAGTTGATTCTGGGTTTCTATCCCTATATTTACTTAACAGTCCAGCCCAGGCAAGATGATGACCCACCTCCTTCTACGCTGCTCCAAGACTACCAGAATGTCCCTGGAATTGAGAAGTAAGCAGGAAGAAACCTAGTAGAGGAGTCAGGGGACCCTGGGAGGACTGTCCGGGAATGGGGAAAGACAGTGGCTTTGAGACTTGGCTTGCTATAGCTGAAGCTTGATATAGAAGGAGGCAGGGGCCCAGGTGTGGTGCGGATGGGTGGTCAGCAAGGCAGATGGTACTCATGGAGCTCGGCTACTTGGGGGTTTTTTTGTACTCTAGATGAAGACCCTGTACTACTAGAATCCAAGAAGCTAACATGCTTCACAGGTCTTTGTAGAAATCTCTCATCTCTTGTTCCTCACAAAAGTTCTATGGACCCATTTTATAGATTTTCAAGCTGCCCAGTGTGATACAGTTCTAAGGGGCAGAGCTAGAGTTGGAATCTAGGGCTGACTGACACCAAAGCCAGAGGCCCTCTGCTCAGCTCCTGTCCAGTGTTGTGGGAGCTAGTCAGTCCCTCCAGTCCTTCTCACTGTGCAATTTAACTTGAAATGTCTCAAAACAGATTGAACTATGTTCTAGCTAAAATGGAAATCCTCTCCTTGCCCTCCCTGTGATGAAACCAGAACACTCGAGCTGACGGCCCCAGTTTCTATAGTTTTCAGCCCAGCAAGCCAGATCCACACTGACTTAATCCCTGGGAAATGGCTCCCCACCTCCAGGGAGAATGATTTGCTGCAGAAGGAATTTTTCAGTCATCTTTGCTTTTCAAACTAAAATGAAACCAGCATTGCTTCCCCCTCCCCCTCTCCTCCATGTCTGTCTCATTGCTGTGGTTTTTCCACAGGGTTGATGATGTTGTGAAAAGACTCTTGTCTTTGGAAATGGCCAAAAAGGTGAGCATCCTCTGCCAACCCTCAGCCTCCTGCAGTCCTCTCTGGGACTCCCTCCTACCCTGGTTAGCAACCCCCATCCCATGCTTCTCCAGTCACAGCACTTAGCCCACTGTCATTCTGTGTCTACTTGTCAATATCCCTAGGCAGAGCATCTTCATGGCAGGGACACTTTTGTTCCCCCACCATACCCCTAGTACCTGACAAACAGGTGCTCAATGAATAAATGAATAAGCATGAATGAATGAGCAAGCTTTGGGAACATTCATGCAACAAGTCATTTCCTCTGTCAGTGGCTTTGGCTTTGGGCTCACCTGGATGTGGATAGCCATGTGGTTGGTCAAGGCCACAGTGAGCAGATTAAAGTCGGGCCCTGAGCCATATGTCCCTAGTTGCTGTAACTATAGCCAGGGCCTTGGCGGGAGGAGGGCTAGTTCTTAGAGGGTGGCAGACTGCACAGATTTTCTGTCTCTGTCTTCAACAGAAGGAGAAGCTAAAAGTCATACAAGAACAGTTGATGAAAAAGATTGTTGAAAACCCTGAGGACACCAGATCCCTGGAGGCTCGAAGTTGGTTGGGGACCCTTGGGGAGTGGGGGTGCAGGGGAGCCCTAGCTGGGACCTGTTCTAGGGCTCTTGTCTACAAGCACACTGACATGTGGCTTGGGAAAGGGGGGGACATGAAGGACCTAAGGCAATGAAAACTAGCCTGTATCCCAGGCTCTGATGCTGGAGTCAACGTCCAGTTGGGCCTTGTACCTCTGTGTGAGCTTGGGTAAGCCACCAACCCTCTCATGGAGCCTCTGCTTCCTTGTGTGGAATGGGGGAATAAGGGAGAGCAGGGCAGGGGTAATGTTACCCACCTCATGACAGCATTGTGAGAGGCAGCTAGAGGATGTAAATACACCTTGGAAACTAAAGCTCACAATGTGTGATAATAATAGTAAGACTAACATTTACTGAACCCTCATGTGCCAGACAGACACCATGGTGCATTCCCAAGGGAATAATGTTCCTACTTTGGTTCAGGCTGGAACTGGCAGTAGTCTTCATTAGATGTGGGTGAAAAGTGCCACCACTTTCCCCTCTCTTTGGGTGCAGTTTCTTTTCATTGCCCACAAGAGCAAGTGAGGTAGACTAGTAGACCTGCCTGGAGTCTACACTCTCTCTCCTTTGCCATTGGCCTTTATTACAGCCTCCTCCTCCTCTTCTTCCCTCCTGCCTTCATTCTTTTCTTCTCCCTCTGCCAGGGATTAAAGTCTGCTTAGTTCATCTTAGATACTAAAACTCCATTGAGAACTGGACTCCAGGGTCCTCCATAGCCCCTTTTGAGAAGATGAGTTTCAGCTTCCCTTGCCCTGCCGAAGCCCTGGGCTAGGGACCATCTCAGCCACAAAGGCCTGCTTATCTTTCCTCACCTGTTTCTGCATTATCACCACTGAAATCCACAGGCTGGCAGGAACAAATGTCCTAGACTGGCAAGGTGGTTACTGGGATCCTCTTTTTTTTTTTTTTTGAGACCAGTCTGTCTCTCTCACCCAGGCTGGAATGCAGTGTTGGGCGTCACCATGGCTCACTACAGCCTCGACTTCCAGCGCTTCAGCAATTCTTCTACCTCAGGCTTCCAAGTAGCTGGGACCACAGGCATGCATCACCATGTCAGGCTAATTTTTGTATTTTTGATAGAGACAGGAATTTGCCATATTGCCCAGGCTGATCTCAAACTCCTGAGCTCAGGCGATTCACCCACCTCAGCCTCCCAAAGTGCTGGGATTACAGGCATGAGCCACTGCGCCCAGCCCACAGGTGTCAATTCTGCCTTTCCATTAATACTCAGTTTCCTGAAGGCCAGCTGCTTCTAGCATAGTGTCTGTTCTAGAGAACCCCTCAGGAACCAAAGCCCATCTTTGTGTTATTCCACTCTACACCTAAGGTAGTTTGTGATAGAGCCATGTGGTCAGGGCCAGGGTTCTCACTGCACTTTGTGCAGCGCTCCCAGAACTCAATATGTGTACTGGGAAGGGCCTGCTGCTGTGACACCCTCTTTGGGGCCAGCTTCTGCTTTTGCCCCATCTTTGCAGTACAGGGGGGAATTAAATAAGAGGATGCCTAAAAGAAGGATATTTCAGATTCTTGAAAGACAAGTGGGAGCTGGTAATTCTGAAAACTCATTAATCAAAGCATGGAGATAAGGGTGGCAGCAGGAAGGGGAGAGGCAAGGAGTAGACCCTTGACAGTTTTACAGTCTTACTTGTGCCAAAATACTTTACTGCATTGGCTTGGACCTCTAGTACAGTGTTGAATTGTTAACCATGAAAGCATTGTATCCTAGTTGAATGATTTGAATTCCTGAATTGAATGGATAGGCTTACCATTAAGAGTGCTATTTGCAGCTGGACACGATGGCTCATGCCTGTAATCCCATCACTTTGGGAGGCCAAGACGGGCAGATCACTTGAGGTCAGGTGTCTGAGACCAGCCTGGCCAACATGGTGAAACTCCATCTCTACTAAAAAAAATTAGCAGGGCATGGTCATGGGTGCCTGTAATCCCAGCTGCTTGGGAGGCTGAGGCAAGAGAATCTCCTGAACCTGGGAGATGGAGGTTGCAGTGAGCTGAGATCGTGCCATTGCACTCCAGCCTGGGCAACAGAGGGAGACTCTGTCTCAAAAAAAAAAAAAAAAAAAGAATGCTATTTGCTATGATTTTTAGATGATATCTTTATAATATTAAGGGATGCCCCTTCCTTGAATTTTGCGTTTTAAAGGAAAGATAATGTCTAAGATTAGCCTTTGGAATCCTAAAATTCAGAGTGCATTGGGGTTTATAGAGAGCTGTACAGAGCATTGGTAATTGTTACTCCTTGAATTCTTAAAACGTAACCCAGGCCTGGGCCCTTCCTTCCTCTGTGCCCAACTCTCATCCTCTGTGGTTTGTGGTTTCAGTTGTTGCCTTGACCATCAAGATCCGCAGTTATGAAGAACACATGCAGAAACATCGAAAGGTAAACCCTGGGCACCATTCACAGTTAAACAGCAGCAGCCTTGGGGAGAGGGGTCTGGGAGGGGAAAGGCTCTGGGTCCAGAGAAAGACACTTAGAAGCCAGTGGGCTATATCACCAGAGTGCCCACCCCTCAGCTTCCGTGGGAAACATGTTTCTCTCCTCCCACCAGAGGACTTTGAGCCTTACAAGGCCATGCTGAGTGTCACCAGGGGTTAAGAACACAAACTTTAGAGCATGATCGCTGTGTCTGGCACATACTGAGTGCTCAGTAAATATGTGTTGAATTCATGCATTTTGAATGCATGAATGGAGTCAGATTGCCCTGAGTGCAAATGCCAGCTTAACTCACTTAACTCACTGTGTGATGTTAGGGAAGTTACAGGTCTCAGCCTCAGTTCTCTTTTCAGTAAGATAGAGATCACACAAATACCTGCTCACAGGATTGCAAGGATTATGTGAAATAATAACAGCCAATGTGATGCGTATAAAGTCTTCAGGCTCTGTGTCTCATTTGACTCTCATGACTATCTTTTGTTTGTTTGTTTTTGGTTTGGGGGGTTTTTTGAGACAGGTCTCACTTGTTGCCCAGGCCAGAGTGCAGTGGTGCAATCTCGGCTCACTGCATCCTCTGCCTCCCAGGCTCAAGTGATTCTCTCGACTCCACCTCCTGAGCAGCTGGGGCTACAGGCGCATGCCACCATGCCCAGCTAATTTTTGTATTTTTAGTAGAGACGGGATTTTACCCTATTGGCCAGACAGGTCTCGAACTCCTGATCCCAAGTGATCCACCTGCCTCCCAAAGCGCTGGGATTACAGGTGTGAGCCACCACACCCGACCTCATGACTATGTTTCTTTCCCATCTTAATGAGGAATAATCTAGTCATGGAGTGATTAGGTTGTTCCTCAAGGCATACCACTGGGAAGTGATGTGTGGAGACAATTGAAACAAGGCAGTCTTGCTCCCAGGCCCATATTCTTAACCATTATACCGTATCTCAGCAGTGTCTGGCACAGAGTTGCTGTAATTAGGCAAATGCTGTTATTTTTAGTAAACATATGATGGTGAATATAGACTGGTCCAGCACCACACCTGGCACCTGAGGTCAGTGTTCCTTGGAGCCTGCTTCTTGGAGATCATGGTTTTGCATATTTGGGGTGTGGAACAGCAGCCCCACTGCAGAGGCCCCTCACAGGGCAGCAGCCAGATGTGGGTAGGCATTGCCAGGAAGAGCACAAGGACTTCCCTCCTCTCTACCCCAGCTGACAGTTGGCTAAGCTGTGGAGAGTCTGAATGGGTGCTGTAAGAGAAAGAGCATGAGATTTGAAGTCAGACCAATAGATAGAGATTCAAGACCCAATCTCAGCACTGAGTCCTAAGGACCTTTTGTGAATCAGATAACATCTTTATTTATTTATTTATTTATTTATTTATTTATTTATTTATTTTTGAGACAGAGTTTCACTCTTGTTACCCAGGCTGGAGTGCAATGGCGCGATCTCGGCTCACCGCAACCTCCGCCTCCTAGGTTCAGGCAATTCTCCTGCCTCAGCCTCCTGAGTAGCTGGGATTACAGGCACGCGCCACCATGCCCAGCTAATTTTTTGTATTTTTAGTAGAGACGGGGTTTCACCATGTTGACCAGGATGGTCTCGATCTCTTGACCTCGTGATCCACCCGCCTCGGCCTCCCAAAGTGCTGGGATTACAGGCTTGAGCCACCGCGCCCGGCCTCAGATAACATCTTTAAACCTTTATTTTCACATCTGTAAAATGGGAATAACAATGACAATGTGTCTCTCAGAATTGCATTAATATTTGCATAAGATTATTGAGAAATTTCAATGAAGTGATAAAATGACCATCCTTTGTTGCTGTGAACAACAGTAACACTTATATAATACTAAAAATAATGAGACTTTCTTACAGGACAAAGCCCACAAACGCTATCTGCTGATGAGCATCGACCAGAGAAAAAAGATGCTCAAAAACCTCCGTAACACCAACTATGATGTCTATGAGAAAATATGCAAGGAGCTGGGGATTGAGTACACCTTCCCACCTCTGTATTACCGAAGAGCCCACCGCCGATTCGTGACCAAGAAGGCTCTGTGCATTCGGGTACGAGTCAGAATTGTTGCTTTGCTTGGCCCCCCTGAGGAACTGGGATGGAGGAAGCAGAAGGTGGGGGGGCCTGGAATGGATCCAGGGAGGTCACAGACCACCAACCCCATGGAGAAAGGCTGGGGTTACCATCTGAGGGAGATAGCTCCCACCCCACCTGTTCCAAGTCTTAGATTTTGCATAGGATCATGAGGTCTTTTGCTGCCCCTTTTTACCCCCAGGTTTTCCAGGAGACTCAAAAGCTGAAGAAGCAAAAAAGAGCTTTAAAGGCTGCAGCAGCAGCCCAAAAACAAGCAAAGCAAAGGAAACCAGACAGCCCTGCCAAAGCCGAACCAGAGATACTCGGAGACAACCAATAAATTCTGTTCAATCATTGCTTTCTGTCTTGAAGAATGATAGGAGAGACAGTGGGGCTCTTTTTGGTCTAAGGAGGAGGAGAAATTTATTCTTTGATTCAGCTCTGGGATCTCAGAGTTGTGTGAGGCAGAGTCCCTGCCCTCACCCACCAGGGGACACACATTCATGACATACCTCTCACACTCATACAAACAATTACCTGTCATCCAGGTGATATATGTTTCAGTGGAGGCAAGACAGAGTATGTAACAGCACAGTGGAAGTGTGGCTGTATGGGTGAAAAGAACAGCTGTAAGAGATGCCTTCCGGACTGGGCTCTAAAGCATAAGTAGGAGTTCACTGGATATGAACAGGAAGAGAAAGGCTCCTGGGCAGAAGGAATTGCAAGTACAAAGGCAAAGAAGTCTAGAGAGAGAGGCATGCTGTATTCAGAGACTGGGGAGAATAAAAAATAAAGCTTGAAAAGCTGAAGCTGAGGTGTAAGAGGCTTTATATGCTAGGCTGAGAAGATTGTACACTGTCTACTAGGGAGTGGGGAGACAAAGTTTTAAAACTGAAGGAGTAGCTGGGCGCGGTGGCTCACACCTGTAATCCCAGCACTTTGGGAGGCCGAGGTAGGCGGATCACGAGGTCAAGAGATCGAGACCAGCCTGGCCAACATGGTGAAACCCCGTCTCTACTAAAATACAAAAATTAGCTGGGCGTGGTGGCACACACTTATAGTCCCAGCTACTCAGGAGGCTGAGGCAGAAGAATTGCTTGAACCCGGGAGACGGAAGTTGCAGTGAGCCGAGATCACACCACTGCACTCCAGCCTGATACCTGGTAACAGAGCGAGATGCTGTCTCAAGAAAAGTAACTGAAGGAGTGATGATAATAACAGGTCTGTGTTTTAGATAGTTAAGCAACAGCTGTGTGGAAGGTAGATGGGAGGAGGAGATCAGAGCAGTGTATTGGGCGTGGGGGATCAAAACTACAAGTCCTACCCCCAGGAACATGTACATACACAAAGCATTGCTTATAAATTCTAGGGAGTTATGTATACCCACATCCCCATAAAGCCCATCCATTTACACCAGGTTAAGTACCAACGCCTTGAAGCCTGAGCATGCTTGGTATGTTTGAAGAACCCAAGGAAGACTGTGTCTAAAACAGAGCAAAGAGAATAGTGAGAAGATAGGAGGTCAGAAAGGTAGGCAAATACCAGGTGATGTAGAGCTTTCTGGGTGTTTTAGTCTGCTCAGCCTGCCATAACAAAATACCGTAGATTAGGTGACTTATGATTTTTATTGTGAGTTCATTTTTTCAGTTCTGGAGGCTGGAGATTCCAAGATCAAAGTATCAGCCAATTCAATTTCAGGTGAGGACTCTTCCTAGCTTGGAAAGGCCACCTTCTCAATGTCATCACATGGCCTTTCCCTCCTTCCATGCACTGGGGAAAGATCACGCTCTCTTACAAGGCCCCTAATCCCATCATGAGGACTGTACTCATGACCTTATCTAACCCTAGTTACCGCTGAGAAGCCCCATCTCTAAATACTGTAACACTGGAGTTAGGGCTTCAGCATACGAATTTAGGGGCACACATTCAGCCCATAACACTGCAGAAAAACGTTGGACTTCACTCAGGGAAGGGAAGCCACTGAGGAAAGTCAGTCAAAAAGGGAGAAAGGTGTATTAAAGTGCTATCCAAAGAGCAACTGGAAATTTAGATCTAGGACTCAGTAGAGGGGTCTGGACTAGAGAGGTTTGCGAGTTGAACCCATGGGTGTAAATGAAACTGCCCGGGGACAGAGTGTACAAGAAAAAATGGGCCGGGCGCAGTGGCTCACGCCTATAATCCCAGCACTTTGGGAGGCCAAGGCGGGTAGATCACAAGGTTAGGAGTTCAAGACCAGCCTGGCCAAGATGATGAAACCCCATCTCTACCAAAAATACAAAAATGTGGCAGGCGCCTGTAATCCCAGCTACTCAGGAGGCTGAGACAGGAGAATCGTGTGAACCCAGGCTGCAGAGGTTACAGTGAGCCAAAATCATGCCACTACACTCCAGCCTGAGTGACAGAGTGAGACTCCATCTCAAAGCAAAAGGGCCACATCTGGATGAGAAGGATGAGTCCTGAGAGCTTAGCCTGAGTCAGAAGGAGCAGCTGAGCTGGAGGAGAAGGTGAAGGAGAGGTAGAACAGAGAGCCTAGGAGTCTGCACATGCAGAAATGAGAGGCTCAGAACTAAAGATGAACTATTCAGATATCACTTCCAGGAATTGTAGGGAAGGCCTTTAATGGGGCAGGACTTCCAAGTGGCCAAGACTAATTGGAGGTACTGTGTCAGAGGGCCAGGTGCCAACAGTTAAAGGGGCTAGCCCAGGGGAAAGAAAGAAAAAGGAACACATTTTAATGGATCAGGCCCTACTGCAAAGGCATTTGTGTGTTTTGGTTTGGTTGTTTTTTTTAGAGACAGGATCTTGCTCCGTAGCCCCAGCTGGAGTGCAGTTCACTAACTTCAAATTCCTGGGCTCAAGCAATCCTCCTACCTCTGCCTCCTAAGTAGCTAGGGCTATATAGGACTATATTAAGCCACTGTGCCCAGTTAATACTTGTTTTTGTTGTGGAGATAGGGTCTCACTATGTTGCCCAGGTTACCCAAACTCCTGGCCTCAAGCAATCCTTGGCCTCTCAAATGCCTTGGCCTCTCAGAGCACTGGGATTACAGGCCTGAGCCACTGCATCCAGCCAAAAGGCATTGTTTTAAGTGCTGCCTTAGGGACATTATCTAATATTCACAGCCACCTTTACTCCACACTTTGGCTAATTATCCTCATTTTAGCCAGGAGAGATGAGAGAGCCCTGAGCCATGAGAGAACTGAGACTCAGAGAGGTGGGGTAACTTGTCCAAATTTATATAGCTGGGAGGATCAAGGTCTAGGATTCAAAGCTGACTCTGTCTTGACTTGGAGCCCATGTCCTGTTCACTATACCACACTGCTTAGGGATCAAGAAAAAGGTCTGAGAAGCTAAAGGAAGAGTCTATACTATAGCAAACTCAAAAGCTTTTAGGAGGCAGGCAGGCAACAAAAATGCATGAAGGCCTAACATGAAGTAATGATGCTAAGGTGTTTATTACATTCCTGTCCTAGCTGTATTCCCTTTTATTTAGACAGAGTTTTTGCTCTGTTCCCCAGGCTGGAGTAGTATTGCAATCTCAGCTCACTGCAACCTCCCTGTCCCAGGTTCAAGCAATTATCCTGCCTCAGCCTCTGGAGTAGCTTGGATTACAGGTGTGAGCCATCATACCCGGCTAATTTTTTTGTATTTTTAGTAGAGATGGGGTTTCACCATGTCGGCCAGGCTGGTCTTGAACTCCTGACCTCAACTGATCCGCCCGCCTCAGCCTCCGAAACTGCTGGGATTACAGGTGTGAGGCACTGCGCCTGGCCTGTATTACCTTTTAAAACAGAGCACAGAGCAGGCAAAATAACAAAATTAAACAAAGCCTTGGGCCACTAGTAGTGGGATACTGTATAATCCTAATGATGAGATATCAGTTAAGGGAAGGACTAAGAAGTATTCATGGTGAAGCAGTTTCATTGGGGTTCAGGGAGGGTAATACCAGTTGCAATGAGGTGGGGAGTGAGGATGTTAAGGAAGTTCCAGTTGTGAGTGTTGTCAACTTGTTTAAAACTCTTCACTGGAAGGAAAGGAAGGAAAACAGACTAGCGGGGATATGAGATGGAAGGAGAATGTTAATATGGGGACTTGAGCTTGGATATGTCAGGGCAAGACTTTCCAGTGGTGTGGTTGAGGAAGAGGCAGCCTGCTAATGAGTTCAACTGTACAGCAGAGAGGAGGTAGCCAGGTGCAGGAGACAGCTCTAAAAAGGTAGTTGGCGGGCCTTTAATCCCAACAACTGAGTCTGAGGCAGGAGAATCGCTTGAGGCCAGGAGTTCTAGGCTGCAGTAAGCCATGATGTTGGGAGTTCAAGACCAGCCAGACCAACAAGGAGAAGCTCTGTTGCTACTAAAAACACAAAAACCTAGCCAGGCATGGTGGTGCATGCCTGCAATCCCAGCTACTGGGGAGGCTGTGGCAGGAGAATTGTTTGAACCCTGGAGCCAGAAGTTGCAGTGAGCCGAGATCGCACCACTGCAGTCCAGCCTGGTCGACAAGAGCAAACTGCGTCTCAAAAAAAAAAAAAAAAAAAAAAGGAAGGAAAAAAAAAAAAGAAAAAAAAAATGGTTGGTTGGGAGGCCTTCGGAACAGCGTCGAGGAGGTAACTTCCCGGAGTCCCCAGCGCACAACCTCTGGGAGCTGGACACACGCGGACGGGCCTGGGCTGCTTCACCGAGTATAAAACCAGGATGGCCTTCAAGAAAATTTTAGGGAGGTGACGTAAACGACTCAGAACTTCTGATCCTTGCCCCGTCTAAAAGAAAAGTCAGTTACCATTTTTATTGAGTGCTTTCGGGGCGTTTCCATGGTCTCACTGATTCCCTTCAGCCGTCCTGTGATGAGTGCCAGCTCCATGTTACAGAAGAGGAAGCCAAGGCTCAAAGCCTGTCCGAAGTCAAACAGCAACAAATCACGAGGCGTGATTCCAACCCAGGTCCGTCTGACCCGAGCCTGCTCTAAAGCTGTTCTGCCTGGGCTTTCCTCTCTCATAGGCACCTGGGGCCCCGCGCCAGCGCCGGGGTTCCGAGCTCCAGGCTGGCTGTGTCAAGTCCACCCGCAGACACTGGCCCGGCCCTCGCCCTTACGAGGGAGGAACTAGACCCAAAAGTACACCTCCTCAACTGCGGCCAACATCGTGCCCGAGTTCGGCTCGGAACAGTCCACCCGGGACCCACCACCCAGACCAATTAGCGCCCGTCCTCAGGGCACCTCCCACCAAACCGCCTTCTGATTGGCTTTCTTTTCCCGTCGCGGCGTTGCCCTAGCAACCAGACTACTGGGACGCGGCGGCCTGGCCTTTAGGCCACTGACTACCGAACCCTGGGGCTCTTCACCAGCCCAGCTCGCTTCCAGCACCATGTCGGTGCGGACGCTACCGCTGCTCTTCTTGAACTTGGGCGGGGAGATGCTTTACATCCTGGACCAACGGCTGCGGGCCCAGAACATCCCGGGAGACAAGGCCCGCAGAGGTGAGAGGCCCCCGGCCCACTCAGCCAGACCCACAACCCTCAGCCCGGCCCTCTCACCATCACCCTAACACCCACAGCCAGACCCGCACCCCTACACACTTCACTCTTAGAACCAGGGACCTTTCTTACAAGCCACAAACCCCATCCAGTTGGAGCCCCTCAGGAGTCAAATCCCCCAAAAGCTTTTTTCACAGCAGAGGAATTTAATACGCCCAGTGGACCTTAGGATGCCTCATCTTCCTAATTTCCCCATCTCTTCAAATGCGAGAGGTGATTTCCCAATCTCTTATATCAATCAGTGCCTTCCAAATGTAGGAGTCCCAGCTGCCCACCATCTGGCGTCATACCCCTTGCTAGTCCAAACACATCCTCTTTACCCCCAAGGAAGAGGTTCTGATTTGTTTTTTGTTTGTTTTGTTTTGTTTTTTTGAGACAGCGTTCCACTCTGTCACCCAGGCTGCAGTGTCGTGGCACGATCTCGGCTAACGGGGCAACCTCCGCCTCCTAGGTTCCAGCTATTTTCGTGCCTCAGCCTCCCAAGTAGCTGGGATTACAGGCATGCACCACCACGCCCGGCAATTTTTTGTATTTTTAGTAGAAATGGGGTGTTGTCTTGTTTCTCACGCTGGTCTTGAATTCCTGGCCTCAAGTGATCGACCCACCTGAACCACCCCAAGTGTTGGGATTACAGGCGTGAGTCACCATGTTGGGTCCAGGTTCTGATTCTTCATTCCTTTATGGTAATATCTTTCCACATAAGCTGGAGATTGGTCTTACTCATGTCAAAAGCTATTTCTAGAAATTTGGGGTTCTAAAATAATATAGCTAAATACAAAAAAGTATGAAAGTTATAAATCTTTCTCCTCACAAGTATTGGAGGGGAATACAATTGTGAAAATAATTATTTGAGAGCTTTGAAAATGCAAAATCTGGGCTGGGCACAGTGGCTCACACCTGTAATCCCAGCACTTTGGAAGTCCGGGGCAGGCGGATCATGAGGTCAGGAGTTTGAGACCAGCCTGGCCAATATGGTGAAACCCCATCTCTACTAAAAATACAAAAATTAGCTGGGCATGGTGGTGCACACCTGTAATCCCAGCTACTCAAGAGGCTGAGGCAGGAGAATTGCTTGAACCTGGGAGGCGGAAGTTGCAGTGAGCCGAGATTGCTCCACTGCATTCCAGCCTGGGCAACAGAGCAAGACTCCATCTCAAAAAAAAAAAAAAAAAAAAAGAAAGAAAATGCAAAATCTGGCTCCCGTGGACACCACACTAATCCCCAGAAAAATGACAACTCAGAACACTCTGTTCCTTTTCCTCTTTTCCTCCCTTCTCAGCAAAAACTGCTTATACCAAATTTCCTAGATTAAGTATGAAGGAAATATTATATTTCAAAGCAGAAGAGGAAAAGTGGAAAAGGCAATTGACATGGCCACTAATTAGAACATTCTCTCCACTAATCTTCCCCACCACCTTCCCCCACCCCACCGCCCCCCGCTTCCCCCCGCCGAGACGGAGTTTCACTCTTGTTGCCCAGGTTGGAGTGCAGTGAGGTTGGAGTGCAGTGGCACGATCTCAGCTCACTGTAACCTCGGCCTCCCAGGTTCAAGCAATTCTCCTGCCTCGGCCTCCCGAGTAGCTGGGATTACAGTCATGCACCACCACACCTGGCTAATTTTATATTTCCAGTAGAGATGGGGTTTCACCATGTTGGACAGACTGATTTCAAACTTCTGACCTCAGGTGGTCCGCCTACCTCAGCCTCCCAAAGTACTGGGATTCCAGGTGTGAGTTACTGAGCCCGGCCCTCCATTAATCTTTATATGCTCAATTAAAAACTGAGCATACATATTCAGATATTAACTATTGTGTGTATGTGACTGAGTCCAAGTTCGTGCATAAAGAGCTAAAAAGGACTCCCTATAGCGTACCCCCTCCATTCATTCTGCACATTACAGCCAGTGAGCTTTCTAAAATGCTTATCTATTCATACTTGCCGCTGCCTAAAACCCTTTGTCACCTTTCCACTGCCATCTGGGTTAAGACCAGTTCCTGCACAGGACATTTCAAGGCCCTTCCTAATCTGATCTCTGTCTTCCTCTGCAGTCCTGTCTTCCACCACTGCCTGCCTTCTATTTCCCAATAATACCAAACTGCTTGCAGATCTCCACTTAAACCATGTTTGTTCATGTTTCTGTGCTAGTAATTCCCATCCCTACATTCTTCCCCTTCAATCCTACATTATTCAGCTTAAGAATTATCTCCTTCAGGAAGCCTCCCCATATGCAGAAAGGGCCTGCACATGCTCTCATAGCACCCTGTGCTCCCATAGCACCCCATGCCTGCTTCTCGCGACCTTATCCCTGGCCATACTATACTGAAATGACCTGTGCATATGTCTGTCTCCCACCTGATTGTCTTATTCATCTTTATACTCCAACACCTACCATAATTCCTAGACCAGAATAAATTAGTGATCAGTAAATGTTTGTTGAGCTGATTACCTAAATTGGCAGTTTTATATAGCACTGTCATTTTTTCTTTGAGAGGATTCTGTTTTCCTTGGTGCCTGTGTGATCTGACTTCACTTAGGCTAGTGGCACCAATGAGGTAACATGCTGGCATCCTCAGACTGGTAGGTAGCCTGCATCTTGGAAGGTAGTGTCAATTGGCAATTAAGAACATACTTTCTGGAGTCTTACAGACCTGGGTCCCAATTCCAGCTTCACTATTTAACTAATTGCATGACCTTCAGGTGTAACCTCTATAAACCTGTTTTTCCATAAAATGGAAAATATATATATATATATACCTTAAAGCAAAGTTGTAAGGATTGAATGAAATAATGTATTTATTATGTTTAACAGAATGAGTAATAGGTATCTTTCAACAGGAGGCCTGGGCAAGGCCCTCTGAATACTAGGGGACAGCTTTACCTTTAGGAGTTATAGCCTTTATTCTGGTTTTGCTAAATATGGTTTTAGGGAGTTTCAGCCATCTTTAGTAATTTACATTAGCACACTCATTCATTCCACAGTTTTTGATACAATGTCAAACATTTTGTGAGGTACTAGATAAAGCCTGATGCAGCCCTTCGGGACGTTCACTGGAGGTAGGGCTATTGATCAGTCCACTCCAGTCACTGACTCTAAATGACAACAATCAACAATAAAATGATGAAAAATTAAGCTCTTACTTTGTACCAAGGGCTCCTCTTAAACACCTATTGTAATCCATAGGTAATATTACTATCCCCATTTTACAGATGGAGAAACTAAGACTAATTTGCCCAGAGTTACATGGCTGGTAAGAGGAAAAGTAAAGGATTTGAGCCCAGGGCATCAGTCTCCAAAGCTCGTACTCAGCCAGTGTCCCCAGAACCACTATACTCTGCTGCCATACCTCGGGAACGATATCAAAATCTTTGTGGGGGTTGGTAGGTCAGGAGAAGAGGGAGGAGTTTGAAAAATATATACCCAGCCGGGCGCGGTGGCTCACGCTTGTAATCCCAGCACTTTGGGAGGCCGAGGCAGGTGGATCACGAGGTCAAGAGATCGAGACCATCATGGTCAACATGGTGAAACCCCGTCTCTACTAAAATACAGTAATTAGGCAGGCATGGTGGCGCACGCCTGTAGTCTCAGCTACTCAGGAGGCTGAGGCAGAAGAATTGCTTGAACCCGGGAGCCGGAAGTTGCGGTGAGCAGAGATCGCGCCATTGCACTCCAGCCTGGGTAACAAGAGTGAAACTCCGTCTCAAAAAAAAAAAAAGAAAAGAAAAATATACACCCAATATAATATACTCACTGATTTTATCAAAGTAATGACAGAAAGTAGTTGGCTGGTGGAGACTTGTAGAAGATAGTGTGAGATAGGGTAGACAGCATAGGATTCAAAGAGCTGAGAAACACTCATCTCTTCCACCAATTCCACCATTTTGAGTTGTGCGGCTGCTGAAGCGGGAGCCCCTGTAACAGATGCCTGTACACAGGAGCCTGTAAAACACTAGACTTGGTAAACTAGTCCTCTTCGAAGCTTTGAATGGAAATCATATTTCTTCTAGATGTTTTCATGATCTTATCCAACTAATTGGTCTCCTGGAGGCCATCCTGTTCCCACAAGGCCAAGGCAGATGTTGCAGCTTCCCCCACAACGCAGCCTCTAGTTTAGCATTCAACAGAAAGGAAGTGCTCGCTCTATGGGGCAACTATCGAGTGTTGCATATTGAATGTTGTCTCCTGTTTTAAGCAATAGCGAGAATAATAAAAGCTACCTTTGCCTCTTAAAAATATTTATAAATAAGATCTTTTTTTTTTTTCTTTTGAGACAGAGTCTCACTCTGTTGCCAGGCTGGAGAGCACTGGCGTGATCTCGGCTCACTGCAGCCTCTGCCTCCCGGGTTCAAGCAGGTCCTCTGCCTTAGCATCCTGAGTAGCTGGGAGTACAGGCGCGCACCACCATGCCTGGCTCATTTTTTGCATTTTAGTAGAGATGGCGTTTCACCATGTTGGCTGGGATGGTCTCAATCTCTTGACCTCATGATCCACTTGTCTCGGCCCCTCAAAGTGCTGGGATGACAGGTGTGAGCCACCACGCCCAGCCCAAGACCTTATTATATTTTGCTTACATTCCTCATTTTACAGGAGCGCAAACTGAGACATGTGGCCACAAAGTGATTTTTCTAAGACATGCCAATCACAGTGTAGTACGAGCAAGCAAAGGGCAGTGAGACTCTTTATTTTTCTAGTTTCAGTTTAACGACTAGCTCTGAATAGCCTTGGGCCTGCCCCTACTCAAAAGAGAACTAAAGTGGAGTTGTCACAAATAAGTCATCTGGAGAAATAATAGAAAACTAGGTTGTTCCTCTTCCCTGGATTCTCAGGAGGAAGGGAGTGGGGAACACACAGCACTACAGAGACCTCTGCTGGCGCTCAGCCTGCTTGCCTTCAGAAGCATCTGCCAGTTCCATTTTATCAGTGAGAGTCACTGTCCTTCAGAGCTGACCCCCTTGCAGCACCACTGTTCCCAAATACACCTGCACGGGGATTAAAACTCCACCTCCCTGAATTCCCACAAGTCTATCACACTAGACCACCAGTTAAATTAATGCCGCAGAGGCCAGGCCCAGTGGCTCATGCCTATAATCCCAGCACTTTGGGACACTGAGGCAGATGGATCACCTGAGGTCAGGAGTTCAAGACCAGCCTGGACAACATGATGAAAACCCATCTCTACAAAAATACAAAAGTTACCCAGGTGTGGTGGCACATGCCTGTAATTCCCGCTACCCAGGAGACTGAGGCAGGAGAATCACTTGAACCTGGGAGGCAGAGGCTGCAGTGAGCCAAGATCCTGCCACGGCACTCTAGCCTGGGCAACAGCCTGGAGACTCTGTCTCAAAATAAATAAACAAATAAAAAATAAATGCCACGGAAAGATAGATGTGGACATTGTACCAAAGAAAACAGTATATGCCAAACTCTTGGTGCTGCTCTCCCAGTATTTTCTTTTCAAAAGCACATGACTCTTGATGGGGGAAGATGATGAATTTTCCCAGAGGAATGTGACCTTGCAATGGAAACCCTTTGCAGCTGGTTAGGTCATGGCACCGGGCATGCTCTCACACTGCTCTGTTGGGAGCTGTTGGTATTAATGCATTGAAGCCATGTATATGCTTTAATTATAACTTCAGAAATCACCCCTAGTGCCACAATCTAGTGGCAAATATTTCCAAAAGAAACTATTAATTCCATAATGGTTTTGGGGGGATTTTTTGTTTTTCAAGACAGAGTGTGGCTCTGTCACCCAGGCTAGAGTACAGTGGCACAATTTCCACTCACTGTAACCTTCACCTCTTGGGTTCAAGAGATTCTCCTGCTTCAGCCTCCCAAGTAGCTGGGACTACAGGTGCACACCTCCACACCCAGCTAATTTTTGTATTTTTTGGTACAGATGGAGTTTCACCATGTTGGCCAGGCTGGTCTCAAACTCCTGACCTCCAGTGATCTGCCTGCCTCAGCCTCCCAGAGTTCTGGGATTACAGGCATGAGCCACTGTGCCTGGCCAAAATGTTTTAAAACACAGATATCTGTGGAACTTTTTTATCTAGGGTGGTTTTTCTAGATTGAAATCTCTGCAAAAAATGAAGGAAAGGAAAAAAGTCATCTTTCATCCTTTATGGGTGGTGTCTAATGTCCCTCAGTAGAGGAAGCAGAACTTGAGAAGCCAGCTAAGCATTTGATGTGTGTTATGCCTTTATCCCCACAATAGGCCTGTGAGGTAGGCGCTATTATGATCCCTGTTTTACAAATGAAACTGAGGTTAAACAGGTTGCTTGAAGTTTATATAGCTAGTAAGTAGAGCCAGGTTTCAATCCACAGAGTCTTGACTCGCACCGATTTCTCTAGCCAACTGCATTTTTCCTGATTTGGTCTCCTCTTGGGATCTTCCTGACTGCCTTGGTCCTCAGCAGCTTTCTTTATAGTGGTGCTATCATTATTCCTTTCTTTTTACATGGAAATCATGCATATATATATATATATATATATATATATATATATATATATAAAGTAAAACAGAAACAAACGCTGACATGTTTTCCTTTTAATTCAGATTTCAAATTTTCTAATTTAAGCAGTTCCATCTGTACTCTACAAAGGGAAATCTTACATTAATAAAAAAAAAAAAACACCTCAGATTGTATACAAAGAAACTCTTTTCTCTGCCTGTTCTTGGAATTATTCTTCCTCATGGAGGCTAGCATCTTTAAAAGCCTGCTACTGAATGATATGTTTTCTGGTAGCATTAGAGAGCACGATTTCTTGAGTCTTTCAAGATGAACCACAGGATAGCTAATCCTCCTCAGTTTACACTTTTAGCCCACTCCCTATAAGACATAGCCTTTCTTGAGCTTTTTTGAAATAGGTTGTTTATTCATCATCCTTTTAAAGGTTTCAGACAGAAGGCAGTGTGTTCACTTTAGACATTAAATACAAACATGAAAAGTTTCATAGATAAGATCATTGAAATTGGTATGTTTAAAGCCTCCTTGAAAATAATGTTCTTGCTTCATGAACTGGTGTTTTCTCTTTATATGCTTCATGTAGATGAATGGACAGAGGTGGACAGAAAACGAGGTATGCTATCTCTGGGCTGCATGTATTCAGTCTGCATCCACAGGTTCACTCGGACCTTTATCAGCAGGGTTTAAAGTGGGACCACTCGAAATAGTTCAAAGTAAGAAACAGGCATGAGTTTGTATTTAGCTGAGATATTGGCTATACATTTGAATCTTAAGAGAAATAAATATAGCATGTAAGATGAAAACTAAGCAAACTGACCAAAAAGCCACACTGCACCTGAGGGATCTGTCTCCTTTTCTCAGTTCCAAGCTTTGTAGGGACAGCTAGGGCAATAGCTGTACTTTGGGGTGTGTCATCCTATTTGGTAGTTAGTCCTTAAAACAACTTTGTTAAAGTGTCACGTAACCAAAGAATTGTGTTTCGACATGAGTGACCCTCCCAGAGCCATTCTCCCAAGCACACAGAGCAACCAAGGAAAATGGAAGCATGTAACTGCATGGCTGCCAGGACTGTGGGCAGAAGGCATGACACCGTGCATGCAGTGTGGCCTCCTGCGAAAGCTTCAGTTTCCCCTTACCTACTACAAGCAGCAAACCTGAAAAAGTTGTCAACTCCTCAGAATAAAGCCTTAGACTCTCTCAGCTTTTAAATATCTCAGGTACCTTCTGTCATTTGACATTTGGGTGTGGTTTGTGCCTATCATCAGCCATACTCCTCAATATTTTAAATGCTCTCACCATACCCAGTATGCTGAGAAGATAACCTATATAATATTTAAGAGGCTGAGCGCAGTGGCTCATGCCTATAATCCCAGCATTTTGGGAAGTGGAGGCAGGAGGATCACTTGAGGTCAGGAGTTCGAGACCAGCCTGACCAACATGATAAAAACTGTCTCTACTAAAAATACAAAAATTAGCCAGGCATGGTGACAGGCACTTATAATCCCACTTACTTGAGAGGCTGAGGCAGGAGAATCACTTGAACCTGGGAGGTGAAGGTTGCAGTGAGCTGAGATCATGGCACTGCACTCTAGCCTGGGCAACAGTAAGTCTCCGCTTCAAAAATAATAATAATATTTAAGAGCACAGGCATTAAAATCAAACAGACCTCATTCTAATTTCAGGTCCATCACTAGCTGTGTGACCTTGGACTTTAAACTCTATGATTCAGTTTTCCTCCTTAATAGAATGAGGATAATACAGAACTTGAGGATAAGTGATCTGGGGGAAAAAAAAAAAGAATGAGGATAATAATTCAGAATTGACTTGGAGTTTAAATGAGCTAATGCATATAAAGTTCTAAGCCCAGTGCCTGGGACATAGAAAGGATTCACACATGGTAACTATTCAGGTGGGTTTCCTCTCTTAATTCTTGGCTACAGATTTCTTATTTCCATTGACAAGTCAATTTAGAGCAGAGGTAATTGGTAAAAACTTGATTGCTATCATCAAGATAATTATTTCATCAGACCAGCCTTGAAGAAAACCCCAATTGAAGTGCTTGATACACTTTTATTATGTTTTACAACCATCATTTGACACTTCTTCTTGAGCAATTTTTGACCTACCCCGTGATGCATTGCAGAATTTCAGGTGTGAAGTGTGGATTTTCGAGGGCTTTTCATATACATAATTGAATAATTGAAATTTATTTTAACAGAAGTGTTCAAAAATAATGAACAGAAACTGACTTCATAATCTGAACCCAAGACTAGAGGCTTGCTATATTAAGAACCTAATTACCAACTTTCTGAAGCTCCAGTGAAAAAACCCTTCCCTCCCCTGCCTTAGTCTCTTCCTAATCAAATCTGGCTCCTGGTATATTCCTGCCTCTTGAAAAGTATGCAGAACTCATTTGCATGCCAAAAACCAACACTTAGACTAATGGGTGGGTCTGATTAAAACTATTTCTTCAGGGATGTTAGGGTGAAGGGAAAAAATAAATTTTTTTTAAAAACTGTTTCTCAGGTTTAACTTAAAGATGATGTGCTGCTTCTCTAGGGCAAGGATAACATCTCCTTTTTTATGTCTGTGGTGTTGATTTCAGTGTCTGGTACGTAATAGGTCTGCCTCAACCAAGGGCTGGGTGAAGCAAACTGTAAGACAAAAACATGTTAACGTGTGCCTCCATCTTCTCTCCAAAGAACGAAATGAGAAGAGGAGGCCCTAGGTGTCCTGGCCCAACCATTAAACTGCCATTTCCTCTTTGGGGACATTTGCACTCACTGCTCTGCCCACAAGGACAGACCCTGCCATCCTCTTCACAGCAGGTGAACTGTCTACAAGCTTTTGTGCCAGGAGCCATGGTGCTGCAAAGCTTCTTCACTTCCCGGGGCAAAGGCTTCATTTTGTTTTTTACTTTGCCCGAGTAGCTAACAATCACCTTGGGATATTCTTCGTCCAGAACTGATTTATCTGGGTCTAAGCTGTTTTCCTCGCTCCTAATAAGGGCTCAAAGACCCCAGAGAAATGACTCTGCATCTAGGTGAACAGTAGCTCTTTGTAAGCATTAACCTAACCAGAGTTGATGTGATGCTTTAACTTGAATTCTTCTTCTTTGGCACTCCTCCCTGGCTTACATAAGCCTGTGGAAAATTCTTCATATTCCCTCTTTTGAGGACTTATGTGTGGCTTTTCAGTTGTGCCTGTTTCCTTGCAAATGCTGCATTTTATGTAGGCTATGGTAAGGAAAAGGTTAGAAAACCCAGTTTATTGCAGGTTCTTTCTTATTGGTCAGGCATGAGGCAGACCTTAAAGAGTTCTGTGTCCCTCTGAGCTGTCCACGCTGGGGAAATGTTAGGGCACATCAAGGGCAGGCTGTGGTGGTTTGAAATTGTCAGATGTCAGGGACACCCTGTGTTGGTAATGGATTTGGTTCTTCCTCACTGAGTGATAGGAACAGTCTAGAATAAAAGCTAAAGGTCAAATGTGAGTTTAGCATTTCGGTAAGGAGCCACAGTTCATTTGTGTCACTGGGGTGTGTGTGTTGGGTGGGAGGGTTGTATACCCTCTCCCCTCTCTCTGTAGCCCTTCCATTTAAGATTTAAGTACAAGCAGCCCTCAGCTCCCTCTTCCTCCATAAAATGCATTGAAATGCTTTAAATTACTGGTCTGAACCCTCTGGGTACTTCTGTCAATTGCTTACAGGTAGAGAGTGCCTAAAATAGTCACTTCACTGCTCTACCTTGCCTCTGCTCTAAAGATGCATGGCCACGGGCAATCATCTGGAGTGTCCTTTGTGTTCAGCAAAAGAAGGAAGAATTTTCCATAATTCAGTAATAACCACTCATGTTTAATAAGTGATTTTGTATAATTATTTTAAGTAACCCAGTTTTCTTTCAGATTTGAATTTCTGTAGGTGTATATTCTCAGTATCCACATATGCTCACATTTAGGCCAGGATAACTGGTTTAATTAAGGATAATCTATGTTCAGCTATGTCTGTTCCTATTTCTCAGACCTGAGGGTTTTCCTGGCCCTTAGCTAGTGATATTTTATTCAGTAGTGCAAAATATCTAGATGAATGAAGACCTGAAACTATAGACACTTTGGTTTGCACACTTCTTTCTCACCAGAGGGAAACTTTCCATTTGAACAGGAGTGTGAGATATAGCACTATACTGTAATATCAATATTACAGATCAAATGTGGAAAGTAAGGCATTCAAAAATGGTGCTACTCAAAGTACATGTCTTGGCCGGGCGCGGTGGCTCACACCTATAATCCCAGCACTTTGGGAGGCCAAGGGGGATGGGTCACAAGGTCAAGAGATGGAGACCATCCTGGTCAACAAGGTGAAACCCCGTCTCTACTAAAAATACAAAAATTAGCTGGGCATGGTGACGCACACCTGTAATCCCAGCTACTCGGGAGGCTGAGGCAGGAGAATTGCTTGAACCCAGGAGGCGGAGGTTGCGGTGAGCCGAGATCGTGCCACGGCACTCCAGCGTGGGTAACAAGAGCGAAAATCCGTCTCAAAAAGAAAAACAACAACAGGCCGGGCGCGGTGGCTCACGCCTGTAATCCCAGCACTTTGGGAGGCCGAGGCGGGTGGATCACGAGGTCAAGAGATGGAGACCATCCTGGTCAACATGGTGAAACCCCGTCTCTACTAAATACTACAAAAAATTAGCTGGGCGTGGTGGCGCGTGCCTGTATCCCAGCTACTCAGGAGATTGAGGCAGAAGAATTGCCTGAACCCAG